CATCTGTTACCAAAACCAAAGTTATTTCTCCCTGTCCAAAGTTTGTTTCTGTCTCCCTCCAAATACTCCTGTTCTTCCTTCTTCTGGTTCCTTATTCTAGGGGCAATGTCACCAACATCCGTGTGGTCCCCCAGACTGGAAACGTAGGTATCATCTTTGATTCTTCTCATTCTTTTCATTGTTCTTTTGGATTGATTCATGAAAGCTTTTTAAATATTAAGGATATTATCTGTCTTATGTATACAAATGTTTCCAGTTTGTGGTTTACCTTTGTATATAGTATTTGTGTGTATATGGTGGTATAGATGTTTAAAATTTTTATGTTTCAAATTTACCAATTTTAGGTTTCTGCGCATTCACATTTATCAGTAATTTTCTTTATGGTGTCTGGGTTTCATATCAAGCGTAAAAATACTTGGGCTGTTTTATTCAATAAACATTATGATCATAGGCCTTGGGCCTAAGCTTTTCAAAAACCTGTAAAAATATTTGAAACCTGAAATAAAATATTTTTTGTTCCAGAAAACAGAAGGAAAATTGCAAAATATAAATAATTAACTTAATTAAATGTTTATGTGTCCATAAATATAACATTAAATCAGCTTCATTATTAAATTTAGTGTTCACAAACATTTTTTAAGTACATAGCTGTATCACACCTACTTGAATTTCAGTGGCTCTCGTATTCAGTCCCCTCTTCCCGCTGACACCGGCTAACTTCAAGCCCCGTAAAGAAGCACCAGTGTCCTAGTTGGTGCAACGCCACAAGTTTCTGCGCTCTCCAGGTCACTCTTTACAGAATTACTGTCCAACACAGAGGCGGGAGTACGCCACTGCCCTCCTCATCCACGCTGGACTTGTTAGTGCGGCCTTCGCGGCTCATGTGGCCTGGCTGACATCCAGCCTCTCTGCTCGTGATGTGGTCGCTGTGAGCCCGCAGCCAGTTCTCTCAGCCCTCCTCGTGCTCTCGTGCCTCCGGTAGTGGTGTTTTCTCACGGCGATGCCTTTTCTTCTCGGTTCGCCTGGAATTTCACTCTGTTCTTCGAAGCTCAGCTTCCATACTGCCTACTTGTGTTTTTCCTGGTTCCTCAACTTCCTTGCTCTGCGTGTGTGCGTGTGTGTGTGTCTGCCACAGAACTTACTCATTCTTTTGTGTTGTGTTGCTGAATTGCGTATTAGTCTCCCAGATGTTTTATAAGTTCCCCAGAGCAGGAATCGCGCCTGTATCCCTGATGGGACCGATACAGCGTGTGTTCAGTAACATACTCGTTGGATCAAGCTCCTTATGCTCCTCGCCTTCCCTTTAACCCTTTGTCGTTGCCATGTAACGTATCGTGCCGTGAAAGAGTAGAATAAAATGTATATGGAGAGTTTAAAATGTCGCTTTAAAAAATGTACCCACCACCTACCTAGCTTAAGAAATGGGACACTGCCAGTGTCTCTGAACCACGCCGCCCTCCCGCACCGCCCCAGCCCGCAGATCAGCCCTAGCCCAAGGTTTATGTTAATTATTTCCCTTGTAGTTTCACTGCAGATTCGTGTCTCTGAACAGTGGTGTTTTGTTTTGTCTTTTTAAATTTCGTTTCAGTGAAATCACACTGTGTGTCCTTCTCACTTTCTTTTTTCCTTCAGCGTTATGTTCTGGAGACAAACTCATGTCATGGGAAGCCAGAGTCATTCATTTTCAGTGTCGTATGGGGTTTCATTGTATCGTATACACATGTTTACGTGTTACTCTCAGTGGGCGTTTGGCTTCTTTACCTTTGGGGTCTGTCGTGAACAGTGCTGCTCTGTACATCCTTGCCCGTGTCGCCTGGAGAACGTGTGCAGACGTTTCTGCAGAGTGGATACCTGGGAGTAGAACCTCTGTGTCGGAGCGTGCGCGTTTGTCTAGATTTAATGTGCAATGCCAGGTTGTTGTCCGAAGTGACCGCAGCAGCGTCGAGGGGAGCGTCCCGTGCTCCAGGCCTCCTCAAGACATGGGGTAGTGTAAGGTTTTCATTTTCACCTGTATAGTGGGTACGAAATAGGATCTCCTGGTTTTAATCTGCGCTTTCCTGATTACTGATGTGGTTGCTCAGCTTTTCGCATGTTAATTGCCATTTGCGTTTCATGTTGTGTGAAATGCCTACTTGTGTCCTTAGCCCAGTTGTCTCGGTGCCTAACTAATGAATCTTTCCTCACCGATTTGTGATGCCAGCATCATCATAAATCAACTTTCCACATACGTGCAAAAGAATCAGTGGCTCTCTGTTCTGGTCCTTTGGTCTGTCTGTCCATCCTGGGGGCGATACTATACCATCTTTATTACAGGTCTTGGTACTTGTGGGTCCTTTTCTCCTTCCTATGCCTTCTGTGATTGGTGCCATTTATTATTTAAGGAGAGAAAAAAAGGTTATGGAGAGGGATGGTCTGATTACTAGGCCAGCTTTTTTTTCATTTATATATTTTAAAGTTCAGTTACCTACTTACCCCCTTTTCAAAGACAAAACAAAGCCTTCTCTTTGACATTTACAATATTTTTAGCCTTTCGATGTAGCCGTAAACCTATCATTATTCTGATCATAGTTCAATAGATATTTAATACTCTTTTTGTTCTTTGCCTTCAGCCTATCCTTAAGAATAGAATCCAAAAGCCTCACATTTTTAAAAATGTACTTGTTTGCTTCTGGGCAACCAAAAAAGTAAATTTGATTTTCCTAACGCTCGCAACTCCGCTGTGATGGCTCAGTTCTGGTCACCAGGCCTGGCCACCCTCCAGCCACTGTGAGGTTCTCGTCGCCGAGGCTTCCGTATTGCTCAGCACTTGCCTTTCCTGCCGAAGTCTAGTTTCTCTTTGTCTCCGAGTAACCTTATTTCCATATTTCCCAATTTCCCCGTCAGCTGCTGCCTGTGAGTTTTTGGACATCGTGGAGCTGCTGCTCCAGTCTGGCGCTGACCCCACGCTCCGAGACCAGGATGGCTGCCTGCCGGAAGAGGTGACAGGTTGCAAAGCCGTGTCTTTGGTGTTGCAGCAGCACGTGACTGGCAAGGCTTAGTCAGAAGACTAGAAAGCCACAGTCTGTAACAGCACAGGGCTTCGACGATGAAGGAAAACTGCGAAAATCATACTTCTGTTACCACCCACCTTTGGTGTACATTGGTAATAAAGTCGGTTCTGAGAAACGAGGATTTTGAAGTCTCAGCTCTTTATTCTGCTTGCATACATTCCTGCGAGTACAGATTGGGTGATGAACATGTGTACTGTGCATAACACAAGCCAATTCTGCTGAGCGTGCTCTGAAATTTATCACTGTTCTCGGCGGGGAGGAGAGGAGACACGTCGTATTTCACAGTATTAAACATGGCTGCTCTGAAGAAACATACAGAAGAAAAAAAGACAATACTCCACTGACAATGAGAGAAAGTTTCAGGAAATCGTAGGATGGTGGGGATCATGTGACCCCGTGGCATTTTGTACAGTGTGTCTGAATAGGAAACTAAAGTGTCTGTTCTCTTGGTGGATAGAATCGGGAAGATAGGAAAGAAGGGGGTGTTAATGGGGGGAAAAACGCGGAAGAGAGAAAGGGCAGAATTTAGTCACATTGGGAAATAGAAGTCAGAGGAACAAACAGAAGTACTGAAAACCTCAAAGCCTTGGGCATTTTAGAACACGATTCAGCAGCCTCACTCTAGGATTAAAACACAGGTTCTGCAGAATTCACGGGTTAGGTCAGGACTCCTTAAACTCACCTTCGCAAAACAGGAAGGAGTTTCTCTAGGGCCCTTCTGATTGGCTATTGTCCCTGTCGCACGTGGCAGCAGTCTCTGTACACACGCTCGGGCCTGACCTGTTAGGCTTCTTTGGGTCTGATGTGAAAGCCAGAAGGTGCCGATACTTAGGTGTGAGCGAAGTTGTTTCTGGATACCAGGAGAGCTGCTATTTTTTATTAAAACATAGACACGTAGGTCACAGTTCTTGTTTAAAGGACAGACAAGTGTGCCACTGTTAAAACTGGCCCCCTGCGTTTTCCCCTTTAAGCCTCAAGAACTCCAACTGGGGAATTCCTTGACATTCTTACTGCATAGGAAAGGGGACAGCTGCCACAGGTAAAGAGAAGAAACAAGTTGAGCCGCAAAGACGACCATTTAAATGATAATTTTTCTAACGTGTCACTATTTAGATAAGCAATAAATTTGCTTCATGGAGCCCTCAACAGACACGGTTTTCAGTAGCCCAAGCTAACGTGTCCTTCTGGAACAGCATATTAACACTACTACTTTGTGACTTTTCTAACCTAACTTCTTTTCTGAGATGTAAACCAAACCATTACCCGTGGAAGTGTTACTGCAATTCACATAGAGCTGTCGCCTCATTATCTCTTCCCATAACCCAGCTACACTGCAACCTACTGTTTAGCTAAACTCGCTCATGTTCCACATTCATCGCATGTGTTTTAAGAAACGTTATTCATTAGTTACACTAAAAGATACCAAGACGTTACATACAGCTTTTTAGTGATAGTGCAGTTGATCCTTGAACAGCATGGGTTTGAACTACACAGATCCACTTATACAGGGATATTTTTCAATAAATACCGTATGTATTTTATCTTCTTAGTGACATTTTATTTTCTCTAGCTTACTGTATTGTAAGAATACAGTATACATTACATACAATACACGAAACATGTTAATCAACTATTTATGTTATCAGTAAGGCCTCCGGTCAGCAGTAGGCTGTTAGTAGTTAAATTTGGGGGGAATCAGAAGTTATACTCGAGTTTGACTGCACGGGGGAGTTGGCACCCCTCACCCCCGTGTTATTCAACCATACTTTTGCAGTTTTAGGACATAAGCAAGTCAAAAAGATTTGCTATTCACTTCAGATTTACAGGGTAGTTATCTGAGCAAGAAATCGTCGATCCTTTTTTTGTGTCTTTTGTATTTTGACCTTGATATTTCTTAGACAAGTTTTTATAACCTGTTTTGCCACATCTAAAACTATATAGATTTTTTTAGCAAAAAAAAAGTTTTTTATTTTAAAAGTTAATTTACATTCAAAGCTATCACCAAAAATAGTCAACAGTTTCAAGTGTATTTTAAAAATTGGTATTCAAAATCTCTATTGTCACCAGTCTCTGAGTTTTTAAAAACCCTACTATCATATAACAATCTCTTTGCCTTAAGGGGAAGCTTTCATCCATAAATGTCAGAGAAAACTAGATCTTGGTTTGTTTCCATTCCCCTTAAATTATTGAATTATTGTTTAGCACATCACACTTTAGCCAGATCATGAGTTTCATTGCCAAAAACTGCAACGGTTTCCACCAAGCAAGGAACACAAATTTGCTAGAGCAGAAAGCAGGCTCATTTTCAGATACATGGTGAATCACATCTTCATGTAGCTCAGCAAGATAAAACGAGGACATACTTTAAGTTTGGTTCTGCTACACATAAATTTTCTTTCCTGAGCAGATTAGTTATGTTCAAGCCTATTAGTATTTTAAAATATCATAGAAAGCCTTCTCCTGAAGGTTCATTTCTGGTCATGATTCGATAAGAACTTCAAAATAATTGGCTTTTTTTTTTTTTTAATGTTTACTGAGATTGGAATTTACCTCATCCTCGATTCAAACTATTATTTTTAGTGTACGTGAATATTGTAAAAATCGAGTCACCAGTGTGTTTTCAAACTAGAAACCAGTTGGGTTGGAGGAGTCATAAAGTCAGTTGAATAATAGAAACCTAAAGACATTTGTCAGAGTTACGAGCAGTTACTTTATAGCTACTTTTCTTGACCATTTACATATTGCCTGTTTGCTCTCATTCTCAATTCCATTTATTGTCTTGTCCTCCAGCTACCTCTATAGATGTGTGTTTACATACAAAAACATACCTAGACCCATTTTCCTATGTCTTTAAAAAAGCAAAGTAAATTTTGTTCCTTTTCCTTTTTTTTTAATTTCCTGAAGATACTGTGATCAGACAACATTAATGACTCTTTCTGAATTGAGTATTTACTCATGACTGTCATTTACTTTGCCCTCTACCAAATGCTCTAAGAAGCTCTGATTGCCTCACAGTAGTATTGATACACACGAGTGGAGAATGAGCAATAAAAAGAGAATCGTATAAACAAACATCGAAGAGGAGGCAAAGAAAAGTATCTGAATCGCTGTCTTCAGAACTCTCGCTCAAATCCACTACGTCAGTGTTCTTAACTCTCGGGGAGTTCCAGCTCACTGTGCAAAGCTGTGAACCACCCCCTACCCCTAGAGCAGAGTCGGGCGTGCAGTTCCGAGGACTTCACAGATCCTGGTCGAGATTGCAACAATATACATAATGTTTTTATCACTGACCACCACAGTGCTAAATTTGGGAATTTTTAAAGGAAACTGGCCAGAAAGTTGGACACTGACCTCTGATTCTGCCGCAGAGCAGAAATGAGCCCACGTGTTAATTCTGTGTGATTAATGATGACTTTTTATTGTAGGTGTTTAGCTTTTTTGACTTTTCAGACTACTTTCACAGGCATCATTTAATATGCAACCCCTCCGCAGTAATACTGTAAGGCCATGCAGACAAGGATGGATCTGAGACACACAGGTTACTTCCACTGCCCAGGATCACAGAGGAGTAAGTAGTAAGAGCCACCATTGGGACCAAGTCCGCTGAATCTCAGCCCTTGCTTCGAGGCCACAAAACTAAGGTGAAGTGATAGAGCGCTGCTTCCATTCAATCCGCAAGTGTCTTGAGTGCTGACTACGTGGCAGGCACTGGTGTAGGCCATGTCATTCCCTTTCCCCATTATCATGTATATTTAGGATAATTCATGTTATTTCAAGATATTGCGTAAGATATCTTCAGAAATCTCAGAAATTCAAAAATGACTAATCAAAAACTAAATCTTTTAGTTAAACCTACTATAACTGTGTCTGCAATAAAGATGTAAGAAGTCAGCCAACTGGCCACGTATTGTTATCTCTTATGCTTGTCAGGTAGAAGGGTAACAACCAAAGCATAATATCTGGAAGAGCATCTATTATATCTTTTTTTAATGTTTCAGCATTTTCCAGCTAAAAGGTTGCTATAATCCAGTGAACCTTTCTATTAAATAGGTATTTCTTAGCTTCCTGCCAGGTTTAACTACTTGGCTATGGGTTATTATTCCATGTATAGTATGGCATCTCTGAGGATTAATGAACAAGGAGTGTGACTGTAGCAGAGCTGAGCTTGGGTTGCAGGAGGAATTAAGTGCCCAGGCTAATAATATATGCTTCAATTGAACATGAAGACTTCAAAATGTTTATTTAATATTTATCAGTTGAAACGTGAAGGCTTTTATTAAATTTCAAGTCCGTAAAAAATTCCTTTATAACTACATGTTTATCACAGATTAGGTATGTAACTCACCAGCCGCAATTTAGTAATGAAAATATTGAGTTTAAATATGTGTGTTTGAATTTCAAATTCCAATTCCTAAGGTGTTTTGGGTCAAATGCCTTTAATAGTAGTTATAATACTATATTTGATAAATGTTAAGGCACACATTTTTATCTAAAATTGGTTGTCTTTTACAAAGAATGGTTGAATTGACAGCATTTTTTTTCTTAGTGATACGTGAACTATCTTTGTATCTTACAATCAATACACCTTAACTTCAATGATGAAACAGTAATTACACGTTACTTTTGCACAGGACTTTATACACAAGCATCTTAACTGAACCTCAGAATAATTGTAAAAGTAGAAATTATTGACATTTTCCCTGTTTTATGAAGGAGGAAATTGAAACTCAGAACTGTTGGAGAAATTATCCAAAGGCACACAAATAGAAACTGTAAAAACGCCCATCCTTACATAGACATTTATATAGAAAGCATTTCAATATACATGATATTTTTTTCAGGATCGGGAGGATTCTCCAGGCCTTGTGATACCAAGTCCAAAAGTCTTTCCTGCACTGTGTTTTCAAGAAAAGCTAAAGCGAAAACAAAAGCAACCACACTCAGAGGTACATGATGAAGCCCTTAATGGATTTTATATGTGCGCATCGGACTTTCTCCTTATAACCTAAAAAGCCTTCAATGCAGTCTTCTGTTGTCATGTGAGTTGAAAAATTACGACAATCATTATTAGAGCTTTACCTTGAGCATCTTTAATTATTTCAGTAATCACTCACGGTTCCT